CCAGAGCTTTGGCTGTGCTGGAAGCCAATTTTTCCCTCTTTACCTTCTCTGTAGCATATTAATGGCCCCAACTGGTAGAACTATTTGGAGTTGCAGACAGCTTGATTTATCCCAGCTCTGTTCTTAAATGGTTGCTAATTTCTCACTGCAAGAAAATTCACAGTTTTGCAGTGAGTCAGCTTAATAATGAGATGAGGACAGACAGTCCAGCTAATACTAAACTCACTTGAGGTGCTTAATGTTAATATAGTAATACTCTGAATCCTGGAGTTTTATCATGAGGTAAAGTGAAACTTTTTTTTTTTTCCCTGACTATATGTTGAGACAACAACTAGAATTTTACAAACGTTTTGGAAACATCAAGGCCTGTACTTCTTTGTACCATGTCCCTCCCTTTCTCCAGTGACACTGACGTTTCAGGGCCCCCTTGAAGACACAGCTCACAGTAGAGCTTGGGATCCTGATGGCTGAGGTGAGGCACAAACATTTAAACACATCTGTTTTCGTAAGCGGATCTACACTGCTGGATGAGCTATTTTTCTGTAATTTATTTCCTGTTTTTATAAACAAAATAGAAGTGGTTGGAAGGCTGAATTGTCCACTCTTGTGTCAACCCAGACAGTCCTGAGATCTGTGGTGTTGGGGCCTGGAGGCACCGTAGTGTGTGGCTGGAGGAGAGGGTCTTTCCTTTCAGAGAGGACAGCAATATCTGCTCTGTCCTGGGGAACATGTGGTGCCTCCCGCTTCCTGCCTGAGTGATCATGGCTGTCCCCTTCCCAGTCACTGACGCTGGTGAGTGAGTCCAGCACCTGCCTGTGGGACCGAGCCTCCAGTGCTGGCTCTTTGGGGCGCCTGTGACCCTCTGAGCTGAAGAACACCAATGTCCCCGAGCTTCCTCATGGTTCTGTGCCCAGGTGATACAAGCACACGTGCTTTCATGTCTTCCTGTGCCAAGTGCACTGTGTAGTTCTTTGGATTTATAAAAGCTAGTTTCTTGTAAAACTCAATGCACTTTTATCAGGTACTTTCTAAGTAAGTGCGAATGTGGCTGTTGAGAAGGCTCCTGGGTTTATTTATCAGTGTAGCAGGGACTCGGAGAAGAGCCCACTTAGAGCCTGCTCTTTGACTCGAAGCCCAGTGAGGGCTCATCTGAGAGGCCAGTTGATATTTCAGAGGCTGGCAGTGTCATCTGTTGATGACTAGACAGCTTGTCATGCTGGTCCACAGAAGTAACAACTGTTTTTAAGGTTTGGCCAGACTTCATATTCTCCATTCTTTCCATCCCATGTTATATGGAATGCACACGATGCCATTTAATTACTTCAATCCCTTTCTTAAAGGAAAAAGACACAGTTCTAGTGATCTGGAGATTTGCTCAGTAATTGTGTCTGCACACTTAGTAGCCATGAAGATCTCTCTTGTATTTTTGCAGGATTAATGTCAAGTACACTGTTGGTAGACCCACGCAAGGTCTCAGCAGACTGCACGGGGTAGTGAGTGTTGTTGTTCAGGCCATCTTCTTGAACAGACTTTTCCGAAATCAAAATGTTCAGCAGGAACCAGCCCTTGTTTGGACTATGTACTCAGTGAAATGCTCAACTTCTGTAGGCATGTCAGCTGTTCTTGCTCACATAAAAAGTTGTATGTGCCACTTGTTAGGTGCTTATTAATCATGGACTCAGGAATGTAGGTATTCTTGCTTTTACCACTGTTTACCTGTAGACTGGGAAAGAGGGAGTCAATTCATTCTCCTTAGGAAGGTGTAGGACACTCAGGGACTGTCACGGAAAGTGACCCTTGATGGGAGTGCTGTCACGTAGCCATGTGGTCCTATGCTACATGTGGCTACTGAGCACTTGAAAAGTGGGTGGTCCAAGTTGAGATGTGCTGTAAGTATAACATTCATACAAGCTTGCTAGGACTTCACATAAAAAAAAGAATATAAAATATCTCATTAGCAATTGTTTATATTGATTTCATGTTCAAATGATAATATTTGGGGTAGATTGAGTTAAATACAATCTATATTAAAATTAATTATACTTATCATTTTTTACTTTTTAAATTGTATTAGAAAATTAAAAATTACAAGTGTAGGCTCTCCCTACACTGGACATCTTGCCACAGACTCCAAGGGCTCTAAGAGCTGGCACAACCCTGGGTCCCAGCCTCCCTTGGTGTGTGAATGACTTGCGAATCCCTGGTGGTAGCCTTTTTGCCATTTTTTAAGGGACATTTGCAATTTCTCTCAGTATCCTAGTGATGTGACCTCTGAGTCATTGCGCCATGACATCTGTTATCTTTGGGCCACTCCGGGAGATGCACCGTGGGAGCTTAGGAGCCAGGCAAGTCACCCAGCCCCCTTTGCCTGGTGTATGAAGCAGAGCGAGTTTGAGGATTAATCAAGAAAATCAGTTAGGGCACTTTGCAGGGGCCCCGTAACTCAGCCTCATCTAGTATGACACAACACAAACCTGTACACACTTTAACCCAACTTTCATTCTCTGTGCGAGTGTGGGTGTTGGGATGGAAGGAAGCAGAGCGCAGGCACCACCATATCACCAATGCTCATCCAACAGGTCTTGGTCTGGATTTGGGTTTCAGGGGACTTTCTCCAAGTTCTGTTTCCTGACCTGCGCTGAAGGGAACAGCGGCTTCCTGCTGAGAACCTGTCTTTGCCATCAGCACTGCCTGAGGGTGACTGTTTACAGTCTGAGGCCTGGTGCTCCTGAAAGACTGTTTAACTGGAAATGAACTTGACCACATTTTGACATGATTGACAGGGTTATAGAGGATGCAGAGAGAGCCTCAGGGGTCTGTGCAGCCTAGTCACTTGACGCAGGAGAAAGACCTCGGGGATGTCACATCGGGTACAGGTATGTGGCAAAGGCCAGTCTTCCAGGGGATGTTTTGTGTGAGCCCCTGGTGGAATGGCCTTATTGTCACACTAAAAATGGGCATAAGTTAGGAGGGAATATTGGCCAGAGAAAATGGCATGGAAGGGCCTGCCTGACGTGGTGGTAAGCGCTGACTTTTATTCTGCTGTTTGGGCCTCAGCCGTGTGAGATCATAGGAATGAGAGAGATGGAAAGACCTCCTGTGTGAGGTCATCCAGTCTGGCCCCTCCAGAGCCGGCTGACCCCACGGCGTACTTTCCAGAGTACCATCCAGCTTTTCAAGTGACTCAACTGATGGAGTTTCCACCAACTCCCAGAGGCGCAGAAAGGTGGCGACTGAGCTTGCTGACTTGGGTCACGATTCACGCATGTCTCATGATGAAGACCCAGTGATGATGCCGTGTTTGGAGAGAGGTGTGGGGTGAGTCCTGCCTCTGCTACCAACTGGTGTGTGACCGTGTGTGGCCGACCTCTCTTCACCTCTGTCCCCTCCACAGAGGGGGATGGCGCTGGGCCCCTGCAGTCCGAGCTTTCTGAGACTTGGCAGCAGCCCCTCACATAGCACTTTACAGTTTTCACAGCTTGTTCACATTTGTGATCTCATTTGAGCCTCATCGTTCCTGGAGAAGGAGATGATCTTATATTATCCTCCTGGCTGACATCCTGCCTTTATTCTGTTTCTTGTTAATCAGACGAAGCTGCTCCCCCAAGCAGTGGGTGGTGGCCAGGTGTCAGGCATTCCCTCTGATTCGAAGTGCAGAGCTGCCATCTGACTGCACAGGTGCTGTCCTGCCTTCTGACACCACACGGGTGAGGTCACTCTGCTCCCCCACATGGTAGCATTGCCACGGCCACCTGGTGGGACCTCCTTGTGGGGCGATACATTATCAGTAGATTGGACTTGGGTTCCTCTGGGGTCGTTGCCCAGGCTCTTCACTGCTGACATTCATCCCCACGTGACAAGGGACTTTGAACGGATCTGTAGGTGGGCCAATCCCCTGTGAGTGAATAACAGAGTTCGCGGGCTCTTCGTGATGATTCAATGCTGCATTTCCTGCTTCTCGACCTAACCAGCGATCTGAAACTTTCCCTAAAAGAGGCATTAACATGTATTGCAAGTCCTTGGTCATTAAGATTTTTCTCAAAACCATTCATTTTTGTCAACTTGAGGATATTAAATTTTTCAACCCAGGCTCAGTAAGAATGTAGTTAAAGTACATTTCACAATGCAATTAGTCTCAGTAGACTTGCCATAAAACGGCTGCTCTTACTGGTTTAGGAAACTATATGAAGGATGACATGAGTCACAGGAGTGGGGGAGGGGCTGCCATCCAGCCTGGTTGCTTCCTCTACTTGGCCCCGCTGGAGCGGCCTCTAGCCCGCTGGTGCCTGCCGGCCTCCCCTACAGCATTGCTGTGGCTTGTGGCATTTCTGTGCCCTCCATGTGACCATATCCCAGTCCGGTTCCCATCTCCTGGAGCCCCAGGCTCTGTGCTTCCTGGTCGGCTCCCCGCGTTTCTTGTGCCCAGGGTGCCATGTGGTGTGCTTTGGGTTATTTGTGCTGTGTTTTGTTCTGCCTTTTGTACTTATATGTGAAATATTTCAAACATACAAGAAAAGAGTTTTGCTTTCCTTCTTGGATAGTGTTTCTGAGCTTCAGTCTGCAATTGGGCACCTGGGTACAGGCAGGTAATGAAAACCACAAGTGGGCAGGAGCTAGGACTCAGATCCCAGTGTTGGCCCCAGATCATGGCTTCTCCTGTGCCAGCCGCCCCACTGCTGTGGCCGGAATTCCTCATGGATGTGGTAAGGCATCAGAGACACAGCAAACCATGGGTTGGAACAGCAGGGACTCATGGTCAGCCTACCGCCTGTGGCCTGGAGTGGGCTGGGCAAGCACACCACCTCCCGACAGCTCTCCAGTCACCAGCCAGCCTGGACCCTGACCCACGCTGTGGCTCTGGGCTGCGTTGTGAGCACAGCGTTCATCACCCCTGACTCACAGAATTCCTTAGGTATTGTAAGAATGATGGAAAGAAATGCTGTCTGTTTTGGAGAGTTTAAGAAAAGGCAGCCTGTTCCATCTTTGTGCTTCTCTCACAGATCCTGAGGAAGCTGAAGGGTCTTGCCTTGGATTCCCAGACGGAGCTGGAGAGACAGGACGAGGCCCTGGACGACATTGCCACTGCTGTGGACCGGACAACCGTAACCATTGACAAGCAGAATCGACGAATGAAGAAGCTGACCTAGGACAAGAATGTTTAGAGGTGACTGTTTTTTATGAGAATCCCTTCTCTCAGCACGTTGTCCTCATCCCCTGCTTGCTTCCTTGAGGTGAAGACCATAGGGCATCATTCCCAGGGCCCCAGGAGGCGCACCGCCTCAGGACCAAAGGCTGTTGTGAAGGCCGCAGGCAGCCACTGGGGTCACCAGGCAGGGAGCTGCCGGGGAGCAGCCCCGCCTGCAGAAAGCAAGCAGTGTCCTGTCCCTACCCCACCCCTAGGCCCTCTCGGGCTGCTGGGGAGTCAAGAGGACCCACACGCTCAAACATGGGGCTGAGCCCCACCAAGCAGTCATCCAGAGGATGGGCTTCACCCAGCACTCAGTGACAGCTTCGTATGGCCCCTCCCAGGTCTCCAGCATGACAGGTAGCTGCACTTCCTTTCCCATTCTTGCTAAGCATAGAAAGAAGGCTTAAGTCTCTGTGAGAGAAGCCTGCTTATTTCTGACACACTGCCCAGCCTGCATGGACAAAGGCCCGCCCCGGGGACCACGTGTGGCCTCAGCCTGCTCCTGGGGCCATTCTGCGCACACCCACGCCTCCACTTGTACCAGCTCTCTGGTGGACAGGCTGGATTCTTTTTGGTTCTGTTGTAATTTTCTAACTGAAGCTAGGAGGCTAGTATACCTTGAGGTCATCATATAAACACCTGAAATATAATTTCACTGCCCAGTTTGTAGCCAAATGTGAAAATAGTACTGCACTTGTTTAAAAAGTGTTGCTCTTACGGCCTCATTTCTATCCAGAAACAAAAGAAATGCTAGTGTCAGGATATTTTTTGAAGATACACATTGCTGCTTTTTGCTTGGTTTTAGGTCTCTGAGAAGGCCCCTCTGGAGGATGAGGGGAAAGTGAAGTGGGAGACCCTGTTCCCTTCCCACAACAGGCAACCCCCAGACTACTTTGAAATAGCGTCCCCCTTAGACCTCAGGCGGTGTTACTTTGAGGCACCTTTCCTCCAGCTGCTGGGAAGGCGCCTGTGGGTCCCGCGCTGCACACTTGTGTTCGGGATCCTGTGGGGGTTAAGGTTGAGTGCACAGGTGCAGTGTTAGATTTCTGGGCTGCCCTAACAAAGTACCACAAATAGAGAAATGCGACAACAGCAATGTGCTCTCCAGGTCTGGAGCCAGAAGTCCAAGATCAGGGTGTCGTAGGGCCACACTCCCTCAGAGGCTCCAGGGGACAGTCCTTCCTGCCTCTTCCAGCTGGTGGTGCCCCAGGTGTCCCTGGGCTTGTGGCCACATCACCCCACCTCTGCCTCCATCCTCACATGGCCGGCTCCCCATGTCTGTGTCTCAGATCTCCCCTTCTTTTCTCTGTAAGGACTCCTGTCATTGGATTCAGGGCCCGCCTAATCCAGGGTCGTCTCATCTCCGTCCTTACCTTGATTACATGTGCAGAGACCCCACTTTCACATAAGGCCACGTTCTGAGGTTCCTAGTGGGAGTGGAGTTCAGGTTGCCCAGGTATGCCTGTCTTATGGGAGCTGAGCTGCTCCAAGAACACATGGGAAGTAACTTCCATGAGGGTCTTCATGTCCTTTCCTTTCTTTAATTTGGTAAATTAAACTCCTGGTCTCTACGTGTCTTACTTGGTTTGTATATACCAACCTCCAAGGTCCTTACTCTAATGCAGGCGTGTGAACAGTTGCCCCTGACCCTTCCTGCACACTGAGTGATGGGGCTCTTGGAGGGGTTCTGGGCCCCGTGTAGCCCCTCCCCCACGTGCTCAATGCTGGTGATGAGGCAGGGATGGCACAGCGGATGTGTAGTTATTGTGTGTAGTGTGAGTTATTGAGAACTCACACTGTGCCCGGAGGCGTTGGCAGCTGGATGGTGTTCTCATGGAGCTTGGAGTCACAGTGGAGGAAAGGCAGCTCGTGCTCTGGGCAGCACAAGGTGAGTGTAAAGGGCAGGCTGTGCCCAGACACTTAAGCTCCTCACAGCAGCTCAGGAGGAGCATGGTTCTCACCTTCTGCCACATGCTGGGCTCCCCAGGGACTCAGAAAACACACACACACACACATACACACACACACACACACACACACACACACCCCTCCCGCACCCCCACTTGGGGACTTAGAAAATACACACACACACATGCAGTGACCCCCAGCCCCTCCATCAGAATCTCGGGGGTATACAAGCTCCCCAGCTGTTTCTAATAAGCAGGCTGTGGGGAGCCACAGGCCAGGTGACTTTCTGCCATCACACCTGCTCCCTCTCCATGTCTGGCCCTGGAAAGCCGTGAACAGGGGAATTGACAACAAACCTGCCCTACCTAGGAGGGTGCTTGTTGGGAGCCCCACTCAGCCCGCAGGGCAGTTTGGCATCTGCTTGTTCTGAAACGGGTACTGCCCAACGCCCACGTGGCATCGGGCTGCACACAACTCGGATGCTGACATGTTTCTGGAATTGGGGGCCAGGACTGCCGGCACCCCCTCTGTGAGCATAAACCCCAGACACTGGCATGAAGGTGCATGGGACCCAAAATATACCCCTGGAAGCTTATCCTACCTTTCCTCTCCCACCAATAACTGATAGAGATTATGGCCTGTTTATGTGGAGACTTAGAAAATGTAAAAAAAGCCAGCAAGAATCATATGCTATTTTTTTAACTTTGGCCCCACAGTGAACTTTTTACATCTTAAATAAAGCCTTCCAGGAGCAGAAAATCCATCTGCCAAATTGAGTTTGTGACTGGAGTGCAAAGCACAGAAACCTACCTATTTAAACCAGCTGTTAGTTGCCAGTTGAGGTGAAAGCCCCAAGAACCAGATGAAAACAAGAACTCACACAGCCCACTGTTCCTCACCCCATGCTCACCTACACCCCTCACTGCTCCCTCCCAGGTGCACTGACTCCACCTCCATTCCTCCCACCCAGGTGCACTGACTCCACCCTCACTGCTCCTGCTCAGGTGCCCTGACTCCACCCCCACTGCTCCCTCCCAGGTGCACTGACTCCACCTCCATTCCTCCCACCCAGGTGCACTGACTCCACCCTCACTGCTCCTGCTCAGGTGCCCTGACTCCACCCCCACTGCTCCCTCCCAGGTGCACTGACTCCACCTCCATTCCTCCCACCCAGGTGCACTGACTCCACCCTCACTGCTCCTGCTCAGGTGCCCTGACTCCACCCCCACTGCTCCCTCCCAGGTGCACTGACTCCACTTCCATAGTAGCACTTCTGACTCCTAGGTGATCTAACCACCCACTCTTTACTCCCACCCCCAGTTCTCTAACTTCACCTCTTACTCTCTCGGAGTGCGCTCTTTGCCTTACATCTGGGACCCAGGGAAAGACCTGAGGTGGAATGGACATTCGATGCTCTGATGCTGGACCAGAGGAGGGAGCTGAGCAGGCAGCTGCCGACCTCTTTCCACCCTCAGCATTCAGATAGTAAGTGCCATGAAGGCTCACAACAAGGGGTCACATCAGGTGAGTAGACCTGGAGACTGGCACAAGGGCTGCAGCAAGCCTGTTGTCATTGTCATCAGCTGGCTGTTTGGACAAGGGCCCTGGTGCCTTCAGTTTTACGTTTCCCTTTCCTGATGTGGAGCTTGTCATCTGATGCTGACATTTGGTCTGCATGTTAGGTCAAGCTCTCCATGTACTTCATTCCTGCACCAAAATCTCTCAGCCCTTTAACCTGTGACTAATGGGAATGGATTTCGTCAGTGGTTACACCCCCTAAGCGTTTGCAGGTCCTAAAACACATAATGCTGTGAGCTCAGTTTACACTCCATGTGAAGGTGGACACAGTGCAAGGCCCACATCAAATGCAGCTGTGACCACATTGAACCAAAATGAAAGTGCTGGGATATTTCATCAGAAAGGGCTGGTTCTTTTGTTTGTTTAGAGAAAGGGTCAGCAGACTTTCTGTAAGTACAGGTAGTAACTACTTCATCTTTGGAGCCATGTGGTGTCTGTCACAGCATCTGAGGTCTACTGTTTACATGAAGGCAGCCTGGACTTTTGAGCAAATGGGTGTGCTGTGTTCCAGCAGAACTACCTGTGAAATCAGAATTTCAGTTGTTTCATGTGTCACAGAATGTTCTTGTTTTGATTTTCTTTCAACCATTCAATGTTCAAACAGGTCCCTAGCTAGTAGCCACAATGCTTCATAGTGGCTGCAGTGCCTGCCCAATTACCTACTGGGCGTATTCCTTACAAGGCTGAAGCTGCCGTTGTCCAGCGCTGTCTGTCCTGGAGGGCGACTCACAGCCCTCCTTGGTCCCAGACTCAGGAGTGGCCTGAGCCCTCAGCATGACACTGCAGCCAGTGCCAAAGCCAGTCCAAGGTTGCGGCCAGGAGGCCCCACCACCTCATTCCCTGGCTGTGCTCAGCTGTCCAGAGCTCTGTTCCTCAAAGACAGAGCTTCGAGGAGGTGCATGGGGCGGCGTGGGGGAGTGAAATGAGAAAAGGCCAGTGCAGGTTTCCACAAGTGATTTTCTGTGGACTCCACAAATCAGCACACACAGAGATTTTAGGAGAAAAGAAAAAACAAAAATCAATCCTAGAGACACACCACAAAAAACTTGACTGTATGCAGTAGGTCGGGGTGGGGGCTTTGGTTTGGTTTTTGGGGTTTGATGGAATGCTCTCTTAGAGGTAGCTGTATTGTTTGAGGCATCAACCCTGGTGTGAGACCACGTTACCGGGAGGCACCTCAGAGGCCCCACTGGGCTTGCACATGAGGAGTTCCCTCCCATCTCGCTGCTGCCAGTTTAATTATTAGCTATGGGCTTGAGTAGAACTTGAAAGACAATACAAATTGTAGTCCGTTTTCACATTTGCAACTGATTTCCACATCCACATAATAGTTCCAGTTTTTGGCACCCATCTGGAAACTTGGAAATCAGTGGGCTTGCTGAGGAGGCAGTTTTCCCTGATTCACTTTGAAAGTGAAAAGCCACAGGGCTGGTCCTCCAGCAACAGCTCTTCTGAAGGCAAGGATGGGATGGTCCTCCTTCCCAGAAGGGCCACTCCGTCTCATCCATCTCTCAGCTTCCTCAGCAAGAAGCAGGCGGCAGGGGAAGTGGGGAAGGCATCCCTCCATTCGCAGACACCAGGAGCTGCTCACCACCCGCCATTTGGGACAGCCACACAGGGAACCATGTGCAGTGTGCAGAGTGAAGGCTGTTGGGCCAGGGCGGGGAGACTTGGGCTGCAGCACAGGGAGCTTCGAGCAGGACGGAGTTGAGACTGCTCTGAGGGCCTGACTACATGTCCGGGGCTCCCACTGATTTGGATAAATGTACCCTGAAGCTGTGGCAGCCAGTCTGTTACTCACTGCTACAGTCCAAGGGTACCGGCGCCACATGACCCTCCAGCACATTGTCCCACCAGGTCTGAAGCAGCATCCGCTCCTCAGGGCCCTTTGGATTTTACTCACCATTTCTTGTCTTCACCTCTACCCCTTCCTGTCACCCTGGGGAAGGAACTGGGCTGAGGGACAGGCGACTCACTTCCCCCAACTGTCCCTTCTGCTCAAGCAGGCCTGAGGGTGAGGGAAGAGGTATGTTCATGATATGGTTGTAGGGTGCAGAGACCCAGCTGGACATAAAGGAGGGTCAGGGTCCAGCGGGTGTCCCAGGACATGCACAGACAGCCCAAGGCTGCTGCCCTTCGGGTCTCCAGCTGCCTCACCATCCTAATAGCCACTCTGTTTCCATGCCTGGCACATGCAACTGGTGCTGGGAGGTTAGGCCGACCCTTGCTCACAGGCGCTGGGACAGACCCTGGAAAGGGGCAGCAGCCATCTGCAGGTCTCCCAGACAGTGGGGGGAGAACAAGCGAGAAAGCCCGGCCCCATGGGGTCTTTGGGCTGCATTTTCCAGTGGAAGAGACACTCCAGCGTGCAGTTTGGTTGCAAATGGGGGACAGTGGAGGCTTTGAGATGCTCCTCCTGGGAATGAAGAATATTGGAAGATGGGAGTGGGTCAGAGAGCAAGCCTGGGGCCCATTCCCAATGCTCAGTAAGTGCTGCATCTGAGAATGAGACGCTGCCGTCTGCTCCAGGGCTCAGAGGGGCCCCACAAAGGAGCTCACAGTAAATTGGTTTCCTAATGGAGGCAGGAACCTCCTGCTGAACTCAGAACACTTTCCTTTCCAGTGGGCTTGTCCACGTGGATATTGCCCTGACGGGTGGGGCAATAAATAACTAGGGGGGCAGATGGAGACGCCCTCTGCAGCACATGGTAGCCTGATCTCTCCAGCACAAACCAAAATCAGAGAAGTACTGGAACCTTCAGCCTCATCACTTTGTTCATTGCTGGACTGTGCCCCTCATGAGGAGAGACTCCATTGCATCTGTCCAAGCTCTGACCTCTAGATCCTGCAGCCCCACCCACTTCTGCCTGTTCAGCTCTGCCTTGTCACACTGCCCAACACTGGAGCATCACCATGGATGAGGACTCGCTGTCACGCAGTTCTCACTGTACACTGTTGACTAGTCAAAAATAACCCTCCAGAAAATCCACCAAAACGGTTTATTCGGGAAAAGAAAAAGAAACGAGGTTACCCCAGTAGTGTGTGAATGCACACTTCAGACGAGCACTCCAACAGGCCACACACA